TTGCATTTGCAAGGAAGTTCAAGATGCCTATGGAAACTGATACTTCCTTGCCATGTTTGCCCTATTGAAACTGAGATACCATCTTGTAAGAAGGCATAATATCATTCAATTATAACAACATGCCTGTAGGCAAGGCACAATATGTGAGCATCATTTGTTTGCTTAGAGCCATGACTGTCATTCAGAAATATTGAAAGGTAGCAGTTGGATTTTTTCACACAAATGGTTAAGGGACTTTGCTCAACATCAAATTAGCGTTCAAGAGTGAAAATACAGCTTCTGTTTCCTCAGATGCTGAGCTGTAAGAATGAGTAATCATGATTCCTGAGGGAAAAAAATAGTTTTTTATAAAAAATCTTGAGTGGTACTAGATAAGAAATAGGTTTATCACTTTTCCAAAAAACACTTCTATTTAGTAAACTTGAAATAAGATGAATTACAATGAAGTAAACTTTCCAGTTTTCTTTCAAAAGAGGGGAATTATTTTTAAGGAGTCGTATGCTATTTTGGTATCTCCCACATAATGCTATAGCTTTAAGCTATATTACACAGTGTGAGTAAGGAGAAAACAAGGAAATAGATATAATTGTTTAACAGAGTGGAGTCTGTCTTTTGTAGTTCTCTTTTTTTTTTCTTCTTACACTTTTTGCTAAGTAAATCACAAGATCACTAACGCACTGAAAAGTTGTTTCTGAACAGTTGTGTACGATGCATAGAAAGGAGGTGTGGGCTAGGAAGGATTAGGTCAAGGCTAAGCCTGTGACGACCTGCAGTGTGAAAAGACGAGGTGGTGAGAACAAATAGTGGGAAGTGAGGGGCAAAGGAAAGAGGAGTCAAAGGAGGCTGCAGAGAACTCATCAAACGCTTAGGTTTAGGACGGCCAAGGAAACAATGCACCTCTGCAAGGGAGTGGTAATCTGCCACCGAAAATGTTTTCACTAACCAAGTGTCTGTGCTGTTTCTCAAAAGCATGCTGTAGCAATACAGAGAATAAGTTTTGATGTTTTTCATCTGTATATAAATGCTGATGTTCACCTTAAGCTCTTTTACTATAGTGAACCTTCTGAGCTGTTGGCCTTGAAGGGTTAACGTGTCAGTGAATGCCATGAGATTGCTAGGAATTGAATACTTGTATTTGTGTTATATGTTTGTGGATGAGATACAAATATTTGGAGTTTTATTTTCTTTCTCCTCTTTATGCATTTCATAGCTATTTCTAAAGCTAACAATATATGTAAATAATTCAGTTTGTTTCCTTCCTTTGTGGAGTTCTCTTTGTTTTCACCATTAAATAGTGAAATAATAAACCTTCTCTGCCCAGTCCTGTCAATATATCCCTGGGTAGCTGCTCAAAGACTCCTTGAGTCTTGATCATCTAGATTAATTTGCTAGCTCTAATTTTCTGGATAATTGCTGCATACTTCAAGACCACTTCTATTATGATACTTAGCCAGTTTTTATTATTTGAGATAGTTTATTTCTTGACCTATAATTTGACTTCCCTAAGAGTATCTGAAGATGGGTGCCCATATTCAGTTGAATCCTGAATTTTGGGATTGGATCACGCTCCAAGCCTGTCCCCTGTCTGTCTCTCTCAATCAGGACTCATTGTCCTCTCCCCTGTGGACTCTCTATTTGTGGACTTAATGTCCTTACCCAGAAGTAATGGAGCACTGTATCAGCTCTCTCAGGTGACAGAATGCCATCTAATATTTTCATATGAATGTTTCTGTTAATTTAAAAGTAGAATTTCTCCTGGTTTCAGATTTTTGGGTGGTTTGAATTGATTCATTACATTTTACTTCAATAGATACCATGACCGATGAAGCCAGCCTGGTGTGATTACAATTACAATATTGTGTATGGTGCTTTTTTATTTTTAAGAGAAAAAGATAAATAAAAGACCTATGATTGATAAATGTTAGAAGACTGACCCATAACCACAGCAGGCAGACATTAATAAGCGGTGTTTTCTATCTTATCCTCAGTCCAGCTGTTTTGCTAAAGATCCTGAGAAAACATTTGGGAGCAAGCAATACTGCAACACTTTAGCTTGCAGGCTGGAGTTGTGTGTGTGTGGAGGATTCGAACATAATGATGCTGACTGTGAAGTCCTCAGAATTAACCAAAATATTGTACATGTGAAGTGTAAAGGAGGTGGAGCAGGTAGCTGTACCTTTTCTATGGCTTTGGGCAGTCTCCTGATAATATATATTAACCTTTTCTTTTAGGTATTTCATTTTGTTACTGGTATTTTTCACCACAGTTTTCTCCCATTATTTTCAGTCTTGGTAATAATATTATGGCATTTGCTTGTCTTTGCCTGAGAGACCATTTATTGTCCCTGCCTGCATTTGTTTTAAAATAGAACATAGTGCCTTGAGCTTAAGACTTTAATGTGGTTCCTGATAATCTCCTAGTTTTGTGTGGCACATGATGGCTTAAGAGCACTTTTTAAAAGTGGTATATTAGAGAATGAACGTGCAAAGCGAGAGTTATTTTTTCCTACCTATGATGAATTCTTTGCATGGCTGAAAAAAGTGGAGGAACAGATCATCTTACAGAAATAATGATCATCTTAGAAAAAGGATCTAAAGAAATCAATATGTTTCTTTTCTCTACTTGTATTCCTCCTTATTTGAGTTTAGTTCACAAAATAACTGCATGTTAGAAATGCTTCAAATCACTTCTGTGGTGATAAATTTTGACTCTTTCAAATATTGGTTTTATGTTATTTCCTTTTTGGTAGTCATCTTGTGCCATATGTACTGCAATAGTACTCTCATTTTTCTTAGCATGAAAGAAAAGTGGTTTTTTAACAAACAAAAACTTTTCAGGCGATTTTAAATGTGATTTGAAGCTCCTGAAGTCTTACTTGAGTTCTGCTGTTATGTCTCAGAGGAGAAGAACATACGTGGCAACTTCTCCAGAAAGATCCTCTCAAAAGAATGTATTAAAGATGAAATATAAGGATTTTTAGATCAAAAGGATAATGATTTTTTAAAATCTTTACTATGTGATAAATTAATCAGAAGGTATTATAAAGATGTACAAACTTGCACAAGGAGAGAGAAGAGAGAGTAGTTGGGGACTTTGAAATTAGTGAAGGCATAGACCTAAAGACACGCTTTCAGAAGTTTGCTATAAACCCACAGATAAGTACTGTGGCATATGTGCTTGTTAGGAATCTGAACTGTGTCAGGGGGGTGTGATGAGAAAAAATATTGATGTGGTCACAAATACCTTATTTTATAGGATATTTTATTGTATTTACAGAGATGCTAGAATGCTCTGACATAAAATGATCCGGAGTAATGCGATGAGTCTTCCGAAGCATCAGCCTTTGGAGTCACTCAAGTCTTCCTACGCAGTATAAGCTGTATACCAAGCAGGGTGAATAAAATTAGACCTTCTTGTAGGTTCTTTAAAGGGGGGGGAAGTTATTTTTAAAACAAAGTAATTAACTAGCATATATCAGTGTGGACATAAGGTGCATATTTCTGACAGGTTTAACCAACAGACTTGACTCTAATTATGAAAAACTTCTGCTATTTAATAAAAGCCCAGTGGACTTTCATAGCAATGAGACATATGTGTATCCAAAGGCAGATGCTGAACCAAACCACCTAATACTATGATAATTTCCATTTCACATTTCTTATGTGAGCACGTGTGTGACTCATTCATGCTTAAAATGCATTTGTGAATGGATTTATCATTTGCTTAGTTAATAACTTTTGCATCAGAATACAAATATAGTGAAGCCTGTTCTAACAGGTCAGCTGCGACAAAAGCTAGCAGCAGGAGAGGAGAGTTGGTGGTGTAGGATTATAGATTTCCATGGGAGGTTCTTCAATAAGCCTTACCTACCCGCCCGTCCCCAAAAGAAAGATACACTGTAATCAAATTTATAGTCTTCACTGCAGTTTATCTAATTTTGCAAGATCTATTTTAGTTATTTATGGAAGGCAAGGTAAATTCCAGAACTCTCTGAGCTGTTACGATGCTTATGTAAGCACAATATGTTTCAATCAAGTTTAGTAAATCTTAACATTCGAGGGAATTTTGCAAGAATTAGAAACAAAAAGCTTGGTTCTGTAAGTTCATTTAAGTTTTAATTGAATAATACTAATGGTGTTTTAAGAGGGATTTTAAGCAATAATCAGAGACTAGCTTCATTATTATGATTTATCAATAACAAAGGAAAGTTCTGGGTTGCATGCATACAAATTGTGAGTTTATGGCAACGCTATAAAATCATGATGGTTGTAGATATAAACATGCACAGTTCTAGCAGTGCTGAGTGTACTGACGAGTAGTCCACGCTCCGTTTATTTGTGCGGAAAAAAAGTATTCATCAGTCTGGGAAATGGTTGCAAACCTGATAAAACTAGGTCTGTATACCGATGGTCTCAAAAAAATTGACTCTATTTTAAAGAGTTTCTGAAGTCTGAGGAATTAAAATGACAGAGGCAATGTTTTTTGCAGACTTTTTCTTATGCTATTCAAACATCAGAATTCACTTAGTGAATTTTATGATTTTGTATAAGAATTTCTAGGAAATGTCAGTCCCGTTAGGTAAATTAATTTCAGCTGCTATTATTAAAGAGATAATATAAAGCCCTTGCCAAGCAGCCTTTATTTAGCAATAGCAAGATCATCAGGCAGGTCAAACACGTGCTTGAGTACTGCTTCATACTCTAAATCAAATATTCGGAAGAAAAATTATCTCATGGTAATTTTGTTATGTAAGATGTATTATTATCTGTCACCCAGGTATACTGTCACTTGGGGCCAGAACCAGCAGCACAGGAACTGCGTTCACGCCATGTGCTTGATTCAAACCTAGAGCAGCGTCTAGCGAGCCTCGGAGTGTTCCTGCTTTTCATGTCCCAATTAAGGATGCCCTTTGATGGGGTGGCGGCCTTGCACAGCCCCTCGCCTGAGGCTCTGCCAGCGTTGCGCTGCACCTTCTCTCTTTTTATTTTGTTCTGCATTAGAAGGGAGGTACCAGCACAGCCCGTACCGGTTAGTCTGTGGGACCATCCCTTCCCACCTGCGACTGCTGAGCTCGGTGCGAACAGCCTGCTGCGTGGAACCTGAAGGTCACCTGAAGTATGTTTATTTGCCAGTTAGCCGGTTTGAAAGTCAAAACAAGGTTCTACTAGATCGCTATTCGTTAACAACAAACGTTTAGCTCTCGGTTGTGATTCACTACGCGCTTGCAGAGCCGGGGCTCCACGGTCTCGCGTTGAGCCAGCTGTGCCTGTGGAGCAGCCAGGGCTGAGCGGGTGGCTGAGCTCCCCTGCGCTCACCGCTGCCGAGGGCTGGCTGCCGGCTCCCGGGGCCTCGTGAGTGAGGAGCTGGAGCCAGTGAGTAACTTTATCTTCCCCGTTTTAACTTACTCTTCCTCACTGTTTTTATGCTTCTTGACCTCCTCCCCCAGAAGCAAGGATCTCATTTGCTCCCAGCATAGCATATCTTACGTTTAGGACCGTGTTCCTCTGGACATCTTTCCTGCTTGTTCTACAGCCCTTGTTCTTAACTTGCAGATTTTACTTCTTGCACCTGGTTTCCTGTGTCCTGTTTGTCCAACTATAGCACAACTCTCCTGTTGCTCCGTGTACTTATATATTATTTATGTACTAAATTTAACAGTGTTACAAAACGCTTCTGTGCTGTTGCCTGTTGTGCTTCTTGCAGTGTTACGATGCTAGAAAATGTTCATACGCTGTTGCAAGTTGTGCAGGTTTTATCCAGACCCTTCTGTCTAGGCCGAAGGCAGGCACCCTGCCTTAGGGGTACAGCGGCCTCTGCTTTGGCTGTGTTGTCTCAGGACAAAAGGAAATGAAAAAAAGATTAGCTTAAAATGCAACTTTTAAAACAATTTTTTATTTACTTCATTACAGCCTTCATATAACGCGTTTCTGTCCGTAGTGCAGACCGAAGGGAACTGTTACGGCTGCCTGGCGCTGGCCCGCTGCGCGGTGGCAACCAGGGCCATGGAGGGCAGTGCCACGGGGACCACTCACCATTTGAGGGGACGTGAGTTAGGAGTCAAGCTCTGGTTCAAAAGCTGCTTTGATTACTACTTTGATTGATGCAGCTATTAAAACAGCAGAAAAGTGCTGTAGCAATAAATCAGTTCTGTAGCATACCTAGGACTTGGGTGATGAAACCTGGTTTTTTATTTATTTTTGGGGTTTCGCCACTTGTGCTCTTCCACCATGCCTTTGACTATATACAGGATTTATTTTTGTTCAGCTCTGTTGTAATGTGCTGAGCATAATATGCCCCAGAGTTCCGAGTGAAGCTTCACGTGATTTAAATGAACAGTGCTATTCACGTTCTGAGTCAGGACCAAACCGTACAGTATTTCTGCGGCAGCGATGGCTGCGTTATCTTATTGGCCCCTATGACTGATTAGGGGCCTGTAGACCATTGATCGCTGCTCCTAGGCTTCTCTCCCACTTCACACTGGATTTGAAAGACGTACTTGGTGACTTAAGAAGTAGATGCATAATCTATACATTTATCAGTGGGAATGAAATAATCATTTTTGGTTCAGACACAGGTGAGTTACTGCTTATGTTGGCTCAAAGGCTACTAGCAAAAAAAAAGATCTTCCTAGAAAATAACCAGACAGGAAAAATGAGTTGGACTTCTGAGGATTTGAAGTATAAATATGTAAATGACAAGAATTTGGCATACTGTGTCAGGCTTACACTTTTTTCCTTGATATACAAAATGTACGTGATGTGCTCAGTCCGGCATCTTATTTGTGATATATATTATTACAATGAAATTTGTGAGTCTTTTTTTTCTTCTTCTTCTTTCTTTTTTAATGTGAGCATTTATGACAGAAATTCGAAGTCCGGTTTGGAGTGTTATGCTTTAGACATCTGTCTCCTTAAAACTTGAGTGAAAATACAAGATGCCTATTTGAATAACACAGTGTCACCAACAGTGCTTGAAAGTGATGCAAGAGGTGATGGTGATGGTGCTTCCTTATGGTTCTCTCATCGTATATCATGTAGTACCTTTGTGCATATATGTGGGTAGTTCTTTGAAAAAGAATAATAAACAGGTCTGAGATGTGATGTCAGATCTAGTTAATCAGTGTACTAGAAATATATTACCCTAAATCTTGGTTAGAAAAATAGTAATCAAAGTCTTGAGTTTCTTTTCATTTGGGGAGACAGATGGCATATCTGCTTAACGGCAAATATCCAAAAGAAATTTTTTTTAAAATCCTATCTTTCAAAACATGGCAATCAGAATCATCTTGGAAAGGAACTATTAAATTTAATAAGCCATATGTTCAGTGAATTTACTTATTTTGTTCTGAGATGTAGACGTAAAATTCACCTCTGTGTCCTTTTGTGTAAATTAACTGCCTTATTCTCTGCTACACAATTAAGGTATTTAACAAAGTTCCAAATGTGCAACATATTATTAGCCAAACACAGCAACTAGTTTTCATGTTGCTAAAATAAATGCGTTTAGGTGAACAGTCTGCAGTTTACCAGAGTTCTCTCTGAGGAGTTCAGCGTATTTGAACATCAGATTGACTGGCAGCTTCCTTGGTATACATAAAACAGATCTAAAATTATTTCAAATAGAAATTCTCTGAGGATTGTATCATCTTTGCCGTTCTGTTGTACTGAAGATGCAGATGTGCCAGACTGTTCTGCAGGATTATAAATGCATTAGTGAAACCCTAATACGCTCTCTAGCAAATATATGCGGTGCAAGAGGTTTTCTTAGCCATCTTGTACCCACTCATTTTATTTATTTCATGTAATTGGCATGTTGTTCTGCTTTTATAGCTTGTTAAAATGAGATGTGAAAATGGCTGTAGCTAATGGCTGCTGGAAAATCTTTTCCCATGGTAGGCAGGAAGAACATTTCAGAAAAAATACATTGCAGATTTTAAAGCACAGTGCTCTCCCAGTGAGAAGCAGAGATTAAAAAGATGGATGTAATGCATTGGTATGTATAACAGAAGCAAGTTTAATGACCTTGGATGTATAAATGCACATCATATACCAATTCCCTAGTGTTGAAACGGCATCCTATTGTAGGTGCAAGGATACCGGCGTAAGCTGGGGCTCCTTTACACTGTGGTGCTAGTACTGAGGGATAGGTGTGCTGTGAAGAGTCTGGCGGTAGTGGAGGTGGTGGGTTGTTTTTTTTCCTTTCCTCCTTCAGAGACGATGATAAGTGACTACCTGGAACGAAGTTTTCTGAGCATCTTCCTGCTCTCCCATTCTAGCAAACAAAATGTGTTCCTTGATTGCATTTTTTCCACCTCTCCTTCTCGGGTGCAAAGTCTGTGTCACCTGGTGATTCCTAAAAAGCTGGTCCTTGCTGCCAGCAGCTGGGCAGGTGTGATGCAGAATGGGAGTGCAGAGGAATCATTTCTCTTGACTTTCCTACGCAGTCTGACCTATATTTCCTTGCTCCATGAAAGTCACCGTGTTGATCTGTTCTAGCCTTGCCCTTTCCTAGAGAGTTTGGTTTCTTGGTTTGCCAAGGGCTCAGTCATTCAGCAAAGTTTGTGGTTTGGAAAGGGATTTTTTTTTTGTTGCTGCTGTGTGTTTTGGGGTTGATTTTTTAATTTTTTTTTTTCCCTGTCAGTGTACGAAAATTGGAAACATGCTGCACAGATTTTCTTTTTACCCTTCAAGAGTCTGCTGCCTTTATATCTCCCCTTGGGTTGTTAAAATATGGGCTATTGGTGTGCCGGTGAAACCTGTCCGGAAACTTTTTTGCTGAAGCAATCTAGGAGAAATGGACCCTGTAGGTTAATGTTTTTAATAAAGTTATGTTTCCGCATTATGGTCTCTCTCTCCCCCCCTTTGCCCTGTCTCTCATTTCTGTATCTCTGTAGAAGTGACTTTTAGCTGGACATTGACCTTAGCTGTTAACATAAAATGAAGTTTTTCTTCCAAGGAAAATTGTCGCAGTCCTCATGATACTGTTCTGGGGGCTTTAGTCAACCAACAAGGTGCTTCAGTTCTAGGGAATCCTTTCCATAAATTACTGTGGCAGTGAACTCCTTCAACTTACTGCATACGAGAAATAAAAACATTTCTCATTTAGAGAGAGATAATTATGATGTAACATACTTTGTGGTATGCTCTTCTTTTTCCTTCCCTTTAACTATAAATATTTCTGACTTCCCACTGTCAAAATATAAATCTATATGTGGTTTGTGCAGAGAAAATCAGGACTCAAGATTATAGTAAAAACTGGAAGATAATATCTGATTTTGCTTGCCAGCATGCTGTTGTGTTTTAGGAAAAAATACTGTAAAAAGAATGCAAGTATCACTGTGTATATAGTAAACTCTACAACAGCCAATTTGAGTAGGATTATATTTCTTATCAATTATTTGGACTTTCTTAGCAGTTGTTGTTGTTGTTACTCTGTGTGTACATTACACTAGATGGTCTTTGATGACTGTTCCTAAAGGAAAAGAAGGACCTATGGACCTCCAAAACTGCAGAGCTCTCTGCACCGATGCATCTTCTAGAATAGATAGATTCTGCCCCCAGGAGAATTTTTTTTTAATTCCTAGCACCAGATGATGATAGTTAGCTAGCAGAATCACAAAAAATCAAGTTCCGTAACATATTTTAATAATGCATAGCATAAACTGTATTTTAGCTTCACAATAAATTCAGAATAGCCTTAATAATAAATCTCCTACCATAGGATGTTTGCAATACTAGTTGATAGAAGTTGTACTGAAAGAATTCATTGCACGTACTAGTACTACGCTACTACTTGCGTGTAGTAGTTATCCCAGTGCATAGGCAAAGACTACATAAGCAGAAACAAAATAAATTTTCATTACCTTCCTCTAACAAGGCCGTGTAAAACTGGCCTTATTTGCGATTCTTAACACACTCAAAGTAGACCTGTGCAGTCGTTCTGTATTTGTTAAGAAAAGCAACTAATGAAAAGAAGTTCAAAACCAAAACCAAGTCAGTAGAAAATGTGAGGCATGATAAACCAAGCTTACTTGCCTATTCTAAGTCAGGGAAAACCAAATGCAGTTGTTGGGCGGTGCCTCATTTAATACATTTCATGGTTCATTTACGTTTTGGTTTTATTACTGTAGTGGCAGGGCTAATTCTGAACTGTAAAGTGGAACTTATACTGGAATACAGAGCTAACGTGTAATTCAGAAAATGTAGGGCTTAACTCCAAGAAACTTTCACAGGGTAGACTGTGGGCAGATGTGTACAGTGCCTCCTCCCCCAGAGCTGGGACACTCCAGCCCCTTGAGATGACATACAGTAACACTTTTTATTCTGCTCTTGAGGTATGATTAGATAGGAATCCATGCAAATGCCCGGTGTGTACATGACCAGTGTTAAAGAAAAGCCTTCTTGCTTGTTTTTGTCCCAGATTACACTATAGATACTGTCAGATTATTTTCCGTGATTTGAATTGCTATCAGGAGAAACACACAGAGTCTTTCTGTGATTCTTATCCATTTAGTTTTTAAGCTATAGTGACATTAAAAAAAAAAAATAAAAATTACAGTGCTGCACACCATGATTTTAAATGGCCCTTTCAGTCTTTAACTGTTCTAGGAAAATGAAAGAGGATTTTGGTTTCAGGATTTCACCTGAGAAAATGGAAAACAATAGACATCTGGTATAATCATAGTGTCCTCTGTCACTAAGGGGTATTATGCTGTCTTGCTGCTGGCTCGTTGTTTCACCTGGAAATTTGCCAGGCTGGGAAAATTTGGTGGTACTGGTGAGTTCAGTGTGCGCGAGGCTGGTTTGTACCTGTTTGGGAAACGAGCGGCTCGCTCACTGCCCCCACGTGGGATGGGGAGAGAGAGTCAGAAGGGGAAAAGTGACAAAACTCGTGGGTTGAGATGAAGACAGTTTAATAGGTAAAGCAAAAGCTGTGCACACAAGCAAAGCAAACCAAGGAATTGATTCCCCACTTCCCATCACAGGCAGGTGTTCAGCCATCCCCAGGACAGCAGGGCTCCATCACGCGTAACGGTGACTTGGGAAGGCAAATGACATCACTCCAAATGTCCCGCCCTTCCAGCTTCTTCCTGTGACTTTAT